ATACACTTCCTCTTCTATAAAACCATTTAAGAAGGCACTTTTAACATCCATTTGAAAAAGTTTGAAATTTTTAAAGCTAGCAAATGCCAAAAACATCCTAATAGATTCCAACCTTGCAACCGGTGCAAAGGTTTCATCATAGTCTATGCCCTCCTCTTGATTGTATCCTTGGGCAACCAAACGAGCTTTATTTCTAGTTACAATGCCATGTTCATCAAGTTTGTTTCTAAAAACCCATTTTATACCAATAACACTAGCATTGTTAGGTCTAGGAACTAACTTCCAAACTTCATTTCTTTGAAAATTGTTTAATTCTTCATGCATAGCCAAAATCCAAAACTCATCATTTAAAGCATCATTAACCTTTTTAGGTTCTAGTTGAGAAAGGAATGCAACATTACCACATCCACTCAAGGCTTTTGAGCGAGTTATAACTCCTTTTGAATGGCTCCCAATGATTTGTTCCTTTGGATGGTTGGATGTGAATTTCCAAGCTTTAGGTGGTTCAACTAGTTCTTGAGCATTGGTGCTATCTACATCCTTTTGAACTTCTATAGAGAGAGTGTCATTTATTTGCAACAAGTCCAATCCTCCCTCAATATCATCATCATCATCTTTCCTAGGCAACACAACTTGAGAGCCAACATTAGTCTCATCAAAAGTAACGTTTATAGACTCTTCAACAACGAGGCTTCGTTTATTGAAGACCCTATAAGCCTTACTTCGAGGTGCATAACCCAAGAAAATACCAACATCAATTTTGGAATCAAATTTATCATGGTGATCTTTTGTATTTAAAATAAAGCATTTGCAACCAAAGACACGAAAATAACCAATGAAAGGAGTTTTTCAGTTTTGGTAAAAAAAAAACACAATAAAAAAAAGGAAAAGCCGTATTGACGGCTTCCGCCCAAAAATATTTTGGTAAATCAAATGAGTTTAACATAGTGTGTGCCATCTCTTGTATGGTATGATTTTTCCGTTCAACAACACCATTTTGTTGTGGTGTTCTAGGAGCGGAAAACATATGAGTTATACCATGATGAGCACAAAAATCATAGAAAAATTCATTTTGAAATTCACCACCATGATCACTTCTTATTTTAACAACTTTCAAATCCTTTTTATTTTCAATTCTTTTAACATGATTAGCAAATTCTTCAAAACAATCATTTTTCTTTGCAAGAAATATTGTCCATGTAAAACGAGAAAAATCATCAATAATCACAAAAACATAGTGTTTACCTCCAAGAGAGGTAACACGCATAGGACCAAATAAATCAAGATGAAAAAATTGCAATGGTTTAGAAGTTGATACCTCATGAATGGATTTGAATGAAGATTTCGTTTGTTTACCTTTGGCACAATCCTCACAAATTGTATCTTTTATGAAGTGCAAGCTAGGTAGCCCTTTCACAAGATTCTTCTTAGGCAATTTTGATATTAACTCCATATTTGCATGTCCAAGTCTCTTGTGCCAAATCCAAGGATTTTCATCAATTGCCGCAAGACACTTCACATCTTGATTCACTAACTCATTCATCTAAAAAATGTAAACATTAGACTTGCGGTTTGCAATAAAAATAATTTTCCCATCCATACTAATGATACATTTATTCGGTTTAAAAGCAATATCAAAACCTTTATCACTTAATTGGCTAATGCTAAGAAGATTATGATTCAAGCCACTTACTAAATAAACATCTTCAATTGTGGGTGAGGGTTTCTTACCAATAGACCCGATACCAATGATTTTACCTTTCTCACCACCACCGAAGGAGACATTGCCTCCTTCAATCCTTGATAGGGTTGCAAATAACTCTTTGTTGCCCGTCATATGATGTGAGCAACCACTATCAAGGTACCACATCTCCTTACGTCGTTGCCGTGACGTTCTCTACAAAAGAAGAAGATGAAGGTGTAGTAGCTTTAGGTACCCATTGTAGGCATATAAAATTGCTTATAGGTCCCTTAGCTCAGCTCGGCGCAAACCGACAAACCAACGAAAGAGAGATATTGATTCACAAGGAAACAATCGTCCAAGTCTCGGGATCTAAGACCAAGCTAGATGGCGGAGTAAGCTGGCGTTAGATCTGAGATCGGCGGTCCTCTCGAACACCAACTGCTATTTGGCGTTGACGATCGTGAGCACCAGATCTGGAAGAGAGTGAGTCCCCGAAGTTCCCAAAGCTCCAATTTTTGTAAGTTTCAGTCTTGAATTTCAGCAGCGCTTCGCCTCCAAAATTTCCAACCAGTTTGGGAAACTGAACCACCCCTCCTATTTATAGCCAAGGCGTCAGCTGCCGTGCAGCCGGGGACAGTGTCGTTCACCTCTGCGGGTGGCCGGCACTGGGCCGGAGCCACCCCGGGGTGGCTCGGCTTGGCCGATGCCACCTTGAGGTGGTTGGGTTTGAGCCGAGCCCTGCCGGGTGTGTTGGTTTCCGTCGTTTTCCGCTTCTTGGTTCTATCTTGTGATTCGGGTTCTGTGGTTGATTTTATCCAGACTTGATCGTTGACTGATTTGGGCAGTAAATTCCGTGATCCCGATTAGGGCAGTAAATCCACTTCTGAAGGTTCGAGTCCGATAACCGATCTTTGATTCATGCGTGATTCGTCCGAGTATGCCGCTTGTTGGATTGCTCGTTGACTCTTCGAACATTGGCTTGGTGATCGCGCACGGCGAATGGAGATTCCGTTGCTGCGTGCGATATCAATCTCGTTGC